ATTGCTTGTAAGAGTTTTGTTTTGTATTCTGTTATCTATTCTGAGACTTTATTTATGTTATTTTTGGACTCGCAGCCAGTTTGAGCTGAGAACTGATAAAGAGAGTCCTTTTAAGTTTGTCTGCCTGCCATCTATTAACAAGCGGAAAAGGGGGGACAGAACAGAACAGTAACATCTTAATATTAAATAAATGCATTTAAAAATAACTGATAAACCAACATTTACTTTTGGAAAAAATAGAACTAAAGAGCTAAAATATAATTTTATAGTAATATATTTTTTATTTTATTATACTTAAGCTATGTAAAGAATACAGGTAGTCCTACTAGCAACCACAACTGAAATCAACAACTCCATTGTGAAGTATACAGTTAGAATGTGAAATATGTGACCAAGCCCAACTTAAAATGCCAGTTATGGGTACAGTTGTATGCAAATTGCCCAGTCATTAAGCATGACACCATATGACCATGACTTGAAACTTCTTGCCAGCTTTCCCACTGAATTTGCTTGGCATAAAAAAAAAACACCTCAAGATGTTGCAACCACCATCAATGCACAACAGTTGCAAAGTAACCATATTGCAATCATTGGCTGGGAATGCCTACACTTTTTGCTATCAGATTGTTCAAATTGAATGGAAGCTGACTCTAGCCCAGCAGCTGGCAACTCAGTCTCCAATAAATACTAGACCATCAATTGCTTCCCACAGTTAAATCTTAATTAAAGTGGTAAAAGAGACTAAAGAAATTATTAAAATCTCATCAAATTCTGTGGACATGAAACAAAACTCTGCAAGATCTCATGAAAAATTGACCAACATTTTGCATATTAGCTGCCAAACTCAGGTGCAGTGCTCAAAATGAGATCATAAAAAATTTCAAAGATTTACAGCAATGGAGATGTCTCTAATGTCTGCTGCTCTCTGTTCTAGAACATTATCTTCATTAAGTGGGCAAGGCTGTAAATAAATGTGAAAATTTATTTATTTTTATTGGCTAGACAAAAATACAATTTAAAGTATAATTCTTTCTGTATATTGTTGAATTGATAAGCCCTATTAGGTTTATTTAATATATATATATATATCTTTATAGCCCTATCTGAAATGACAACTAAACTTAAACAGAGTTCTTCAACTGTCTTTTCTTTAAACACACACAAAAAATGGGTAGCCTAGATAACTATCCAGAAGAAAATATTACATGTTGAAAAAACTGAATTCAAAATTGCTTTCTACTGGGGAAATAGAGTAGACCCAAAGCATCCATTTAATTCATTAAATCATTAAATCAAAGAGGGAAGAGGTATTTTTCAAAATATTCACAAACAATATTTATGCCTATTCACACTTAGTGGCATCAGCTGGTCAGGACTGATTAGACCGTAGCAAATATACAAGCTATTTAGCAATTCCAGAAGCTTCATATCATTTGCCAATTTCCATTATCAGTTTCAATTTTTCTACAATTGAAATGGCTAATGGCAAAAAAAGAAGGGTGGGGAGATTAAAAAAAAACCCTTTCTGTATAAATTTGGGAGAGTGGGATGGGAGAAAATGTGTTTAATGATTTTCTGGACTTCTGTCAATTTGTCCAAATCCTATTAGGAATATTTGACTACAGCATCTGAGACATATTGGAAGAAAATAAGAAGCTAAGAATTTCTAGTTTATAGTCAGCATAATAAAGGTTAACGACATTGAGGTCTCCAGGACAGAGCTGAATGTTGCCTAGCAACCAAAATGGAAAACAAATACATTTCAAAAAGTTATCTGTTGAAGATTTTTTATCATTTTTGTACCCTAAATTAAACAAAAATCTTTAAAGGGCTAATTCTAATCCCTTGTTGTTGTTTTTTCCCAATCAACATTGAATAAAAATTCAAAATGTATGGATTATGTCAGATTTCTGTAGAAGGATAAGGCTGCTAATAGATCAAAAAAATGATGTATACTGATGATATAAACCTCAACAATTCCACCTGGCCTTTCTTGAAAATAAAATAAAGCACAATATTATAAAAACAAATGGATGAGAGAAGCTAGTGAATAGTGAACCAAATCAGGATATTGTTGCATTGAATCCTATTTTTGAGCTCAACAAAACAAATGTGAAACATGATTGTGGCTCATGTATTATTTGAAATCAGAACAGGAATAGGCACTTTCTCAATCAAAATGTAAGTTTCTGAAGGCAGAATAGTATAATATTCCTTCCTGATTTTGGTATTTTTATAACATTATTGAGAGTAAGTTGAGTGACCATATAAATTTTATTAAATAAATAAACAAACAAATATTTTCCAGTCAGCAAGTAAGCTGTTAAGTACAGGTAGTCCTTGACTTACAACAGTTCGCTTAGTGACCATTCAAAGTTGCGCTGAAAAAAGTGACAATTTTTCAGTCTCCCTAGGATCACGTGTTCAAAATTCAGACACGTGGCAACTGACTCATATTTATGACAACTGCAATGTCCCCGGTCATGCGATCATATTTTCAACTTTCTGACAAGCAAAATCAATTGGGAAGCCAGATTCATTTTACAACTGTGTTACTAACTAAACAACTGCAGTGATTCATTTGACAAATGGCAAGAAAGGGTCAAAATTCACTTTGCAACAGAAATTTGGGGCTCAATTATGGTTGTAAGTTGAAGACTATCTGCATGTATAATTTTCTTTCAAAAAATTAAATAAATGAACTACTTAAGTACAAACCAAATTGCTATAGAATGCAAGTTTCTACTTCAGTTTTATATTCAGAGGCATGTCTACTGCTTTGGAGACATTCTAGAAACAAATTATTGAGCTATGCGTTATTATCTAAACACATACAGGAAAAAGAATAACTGGTTTAATTTTAGTCAGAAATCAAGCACTTTAGTTTCTTTTCTTTTTTTTAAACTTCTGGCTGCTAGCTGGCAGAAACCTCAACAAAAACTCTCTATACCGCATTTTATTTCCATTAAGTATCATAACTATTTTCATTCATATCACCATAAATACTTACGAGAACAAGTGGTAGTTTGCCACTCTAAACATTGGCCATATGGAAAGGAAATGATGTAAGCATTTGAATCGACACATCGTTTTGTACTGCTACACCACATGCATTCCATGCCACTGCTGGTACAGTTGGAACATGTCGTCCTTAAAGAGCATGGCTTTTTGCAGGGTCGAGCATTTTGATTTGGACTAACTGAAGGAAAAAGAAAATAATAAAAAATGTAATTTCAGTATTTTTGTTGAATTATCATATTTGGATATATATATATATCTTGTCCATTCATCTAATTGACAATTGCACTTTCTCAAGCTTTTTTTTCTTCTAGTCTAGTACATTATACAATCACTCGACAAATATAAACGATGTGAGGTTCTGCCATTGATAGACTCAAATTATTGTGTCTCTTCACACAACAAGGACCAACTGGTTAGAACTTCTTACAAAACACGCTACTATAAACTTCTAAGTCACCTATTATCTATCTCTCACTTTGTCTTAGTGTCCAGCTTTCAAATCATATATCATCACTGGGAAGGTCATTTTTTTTAACCTTTTTTGTCTTGGTGCTTCTTACCCTTCATAATCTTATGAGAGTTTGTGACATGCAATTGCAATGAGAAAGCCTTCATATTGATTAAATCAATTTCCCTGGGATTTCTTTGATCTTCTTAAAAATGTCTCCCATTTTCCTCTACTCATGTTTCTCTATTTCTCTATTTCATGACATGACTTATATAACTGTCCTTGTCCTTCTTGATGGATGTTTTGAGTTTGCATTCATTTTTTTATGCATCCTTGTTGCCCAAGGCTTCCATCGTCCATTTTTCTCTGGCTATCTTAATACTTTTTTCCTCTTTCTGTTTTTCTTTCTTTTTGCTTCAGTTTCTGTTTCAAATGCGCTTCATTTGTGCCTTACATTCATTTTACATTTGTGATTCTCTGATTCTTTAGTTTTCTAAGACTACAGTGTAGAACATTTATTTATACTTGCACTTTGCACCTGGGAACATTCCATCTGACTGGATTGCATCCAGGAATTTAATTCAATTATCTGCTGATGTCCTTGTATAGAATCTACTATTATTTTGCTTGTAGCAGATGTGTACAATAGAAAATAATTTTCACAAAATTCTACTACTCATGAACAAGGTGCATGGTCTGTGAATTTAGTCTAAGATTCCAGTTAAAACCTTCAATGCAATAAGATATATTTTAAAGAAAGGTTCCCTGGTATGTTTAGTAATTTAAACAAATGAAATTCAGCAGCTGTCCCCTAGAAATTAATCAATGCTTACTCTATTCCTAATGCAATACTAAAGACATGTAAAGTATTCCACAAGTATATTTATCATACAGTAGATTTCTTACCAACAGGTTTCTCACAGACAAGGCCATCCACCTTAGCTGTACAAGGATTTGCTTTTAAACCTGCTACTTCAGCCCTTTCAAGATAGGCACAGAATCCAGAGTCATTTGGTTCTCCAGGAAGCCACTGCAATGTTGTATTAGTAAAGGGAGACATATCATCCCATCCCCAGTAGGAGATGTTAATCTTGCGTAGACCCACCCAAGGAGATATCTTCTGTGAAGGAGAATGCAAAAACTCCATTATCAAATTATCAAAGATGGATTCTTTTATTACATATTACTTGTTACATATTGCAGCCATGTTAATGATACTTTGCACAACCATCTGAAATTAGGTGAAATATAATTTCGTATTATCAAAATACATTATAATCACAGACAATCATAATCATATGAAATACATTAACTACAATTATTTAGTGTTGGGTCTTAAGATTAATTCTGGACTATTTTTCTAATTTCAGACCAAGTACACATAGGACTATTTTACACTTGACAGTTTGTGCTACTAATATAAAACACTTAAATGAATAAATAAAAAATAAAATAACCACAAATCCTGACATACAGAGGTAAATTTTACAGATAGGTAAAATTCATATATTTGTTGAAAGAATGTTTTCTACCTACACTTTAAAGCAGGAATAGAGACTTAATTTTCCCAAGAGGCCATGAGAACTGTGACTGTTGTGGAGGGCCACCATGATGCCAACTGATACCGTCCCATCCCAAATGTTGATAATGCCCTATACCCGACACTGCACCAATGCTTTGCCCACTCTTGCCACAACAATATCCTGTCTTTATTGCTAATGCTTTCCCCATTGCTGATGCCACTGATGGTGCAGGCTGGACTGGGACCACCCATAGGCTGTATATGGCCTGTGGGCTGTAAAATTACCATGCTTTAAAGCATGAGTGCAAAATTGGGTTACATGGAAGACATCTTCTTTGCACTGATGAATTTCTTACTGGTTTATTAAATTTATAAATCATTTCAATAATCAAAACAATTCTAGGTGATATATGAGACATCAACACAACAAAACAAATAGGAAACAAAAATGAAAGTATTTATATTTTAGAATCAATTAAATATAGTAGTTAAGATAGTGGCTTAGATATTGGAAGAACGGGGGTTCTAGTCATCTGTTAGGCATCTGTCAGCTTATAACTCTGGACCACAAACCTATTCAGTTTTACAATGGTTAAGTCATTCAATCTTACAAAGATTGCCATTCAATGTTACAAAGGTTAAGTCTGAGCCAGTACTTTCTCAACCATACTCTTGGTAGACATCAAGCAGAATCACAGAAGCATCACTTGGTTGGCCAAGAGTTGAGATAAATAATATCTACATATTGATTAAACCTGATCACATGTCATTATATGCCTTCCCACCAAACATAAATGTTGGGTTAATCCAGCAGTAGTAAATACACTTGGATGTATATTGCTAGAAAATTTACAACAGTAAAATAATAGGTGAGAAAATGTTATGGCAATTTGAGAGGTTAAAGGGAGGCTTTACTATACTACTTTACTATAAATAAGGCAACATCCAGATGTGTGATCTCAACACTCAGAATTTCCACACAACATAGTGATTGCTAAGTTATTGGAATAGCAGCTCACATAACTGGAAGTTGCTATGGTTGGGAAACATTATATTAAATTATGTCTGTAACAAGAAGGTCATCTATTCTAAAATGAACTGAAATGCTCTAAATCATGACTGTAGTCTGAAGGTTCCAGCCAGCATATGAAAGAAATTCAAGGAAATCTCAACAAGTATCTCTGGCAGCTGATAACACATTCAAAATGACATAGAGAATAAACAGAAAGGGAGCTACAGAGAGAAATGAAAAAGAAATTACTTTTGAGTGGAGAGAAAATCAGCAGTGATATATTTTACCAAATAATATTTCATTAAAATCTTTGATAAGTAAATAAATACTACAAATGCATGCGTTTGTCACTATTCATTGATTAGCACACGTGGATTGTTTCAGAAGACCTTGGTAGTTTAAGATGTAATTTATTTGAATAATAAATTTTAATATTATATTTTCTTTCAAAAATTTAAAAAACAGCAACAAATGGAATAATCCTTTTCACCAATCAATAGCTTATTATGATGACAAGACACGAGAAACCAGATTCTTTGATTTTGAGTGGTTCTATATAATTAAAAGAGGAAATTACAACACACACATAATTTGAGACACATCTCTTCCTAAATGTATTATTGCACTTTACGTAGTGAATCTGGAGTAATTTATTATTTGAGGAGAAGAAATAACGAAGTTTCAAAATGATTTCATAAGCTTCTGATTAAAATCTTATTTTTAATAGGAGTTATTGAATATCACGTAATTTGTGAAGTGGGGAGTCTGACGCAAGCCAAAACGTAAATATGCGGCCATTATTTATGTCTTTGATAATGCATTATGAAATGCAATACAATTTCTTTTTATATCAATGTGAGATTTCTTTTTTCCATCTAATAAATGTGTACTCTGCATCATAGCAAAATCATAACTCCTAATTTTGGCATGTAAGTATGCAGGGATGACGCAAACCCTGGTCAGCACTTCTTTATCCTCCTGGAAGAAGATATAGGAGCATTTTCTATCTCTGGAAGGAGATATAGAAGCATAGGTAGCCGCACAAACAGTTTTTATCCATGGACTGTCAGACTCCTAATGAAAAATAACTCTAGAACCGGGATGGCGAACCTATGCCACACGCACTGGCCAGATGAGTCCAGCCTTTTTTAAGGCCATTTTTCGCCCAGAGGCTTTATAGGAACCTGGGGAGGGCGAAAAGAGTGCCCCCCCGGAGGCCCTCTGGAGGCTTCAGGAGCTTCCCTGAAGCCTCCGGAACGCAAAAAAACAGCCCTATGGGCAAACCAGAAGTTTGGGAATAGACTTCCTGTTTGCTCATAGGGTCAGGTTAAGCCCTCCAGAGGCTTCAGGGAAGCCTCCTGAAGGTCCCTGAAGCCTCTAGAGGGCTTAAACCAACACTACATGCAAACCGGAAGTGGCCTCCGGTGGGGGGGAGGCTGTTTTCACACGCACCCCAGGCTCCTATAAAGCCTTTGGAGCCTGGGGAGGGTGAAAAAATCATGCAAAAAATGGGGGGAGCACCTCTCATGCACGCATGCACACAGGGGTGTGTCAAACGTTGCATTATGGGTGCGGAATGCCCACGCACGACCCCCTTGTGCTCCCCCCTATGGCACGCAAGCCAAAAATGGTTCGCCATCGCTGATCTAGAAGAACATAGTATGACTGACTTGCGGGGCTGGCGCAAGTGCAATAAGTTCACATGGTGCAATAGGACTGGGTGTTTGCTAGTAGGATTCAGTGGGTTGGGATTTTTTGTCTTTCACTGTGAGCTGTATTGTGTTGGCGGGGGGGGGGAGTTGCTCAGCCAATCTCATTGTACACATGTTGCAGTCTGACAATAAAGGTTTGAATGATTTGTTTATTAGTCAAGGCTAATATGAATGTTTTAAAAGGGAAAGAACCTCTTCGTGTAAAACCAGTCTATAAAGTTATTTTGATCCATTAATTGTGATAGGAATTAAGCAATCAGCTTGTTGCCTACGCCTGACATTAGGGGCCCTGGCTAGACTAGAACTTCCAACATCCTATTTTCTAGCATGCTGCCTTAACTGCTGCACCAACCTGGCTCTTTTTTTAAAAAAAATAAAAAATTATTTATTTATTTATTTATTTATTTATTTATTTATTTATTATATTTATATCTTGTTTTTCTGCTTATATAAAAAGTCAGCTTGTATAAGTACTACTGCATGTGAGAATATTCTATGCTGCACTAGAAAGATTAATAACTTCACTTAGCATAAAGAAAATGGTATCTACTGCCTATCAGACAGAATCTATGAATAACATTTATGTTTTATGAAATCATTTCTCTATTAATAAGGAAGAAAAGTAAATCAGTAGCTACTGTATTAATTGAAAGGAAGAACCAGATGAATTGTTAGCTTCATATAGCTTCAAATTGCAAGGAACAGTTCTCTTAAATATAAATGCACATTTCCAGAAGGAAGACACCATATTATTTAAAGGATGCATATATACTCCATTTCTTGTTTCCATTCCCTATACAATTGTTACGGAGAGTCTGAGAGAGTAATTGCAAAATTGGCATGTATCTGCTATACTGAGTCATTCAAAGGATTTATGTTTTCCTTCCCCCACCTTCAATTAATATTAAAAATTCATTGGTAATTTAGTGGAAGAGCTAAAAATAAAAATTATAAAGATCAATGTAAAGTGATCTTTAGTTATCATTTTTGTTCTTTCTATAAATAAACTTGGGCAATCCCACCTAATTGGAGGAAATGCAACCAAAATGTTTTCAGAAATGATAAAACCAATGACAATATGCCACCAATGTTATCAACTGACATTAATTGCATTGCGGTGATATTAAATTTATTTATTTTTTTAAAAAATCACTTCTCTAGATTTGGATTCAATTATATAAACAATATTTTTACTAATTTTTAAAAACTGGAATTCCGATCTATATTGCAGATATTCTATTACTATAGAAAACTATTACTATACTATTCACTTCAGTATGGGATAATAAAAATAAGAAATCCTTAAGCAATCACTTCAACTACATAATTCATCAGCAGATCCGATGTACATACAGGTGAAACTCAAAAAATTAGAATATTGTGCAAAAGTTCATTTATTTCAGTAATGCAACTTAAAAGGTGAAACTAATATATGAGATACTCATTACATGCAAAGCAAGATAGTTCAAGCCATGATTTGTCATAATTGTGATGATTATGGCTCATGAAAACCCCAAATCCACCATCTCAGAAAATTAGAATATTACATGCAATCAATAAAACAAGGTTTGTACATAGAACAATATTGGAGTATCTTGCTTTGCATGTAATGAGTCTTATCTCATATATTAGTTTCACTTTTTAAGTTGCATTACTGAAATGAATGAACTTTTGCACGATATTCTAATTTTTTGAGT